TGATAAAGGCTAACATGTAAATACTGTTTCATTACAGTTAATACAGAAAGTGAACCTTTTAACGTTAAAACACTGACAGACAGCGGTGTATATATTTTCCCAACTGTGGCTAAAGCTGCTGCTAGCTGGTTTACTCTCCAATTGGAGGCTGTTTATTGTATACACAGAGAATGGTGGATTGACAATGAGTAATAACGGCTATCTAACACTTAAATGCTGTAATTAACCTTACTTTTTATTATATCCTTAAGATAATGAGTATCCGTGAATTTTTCAGTCAGGTTTCCCAAAGCAAAATCACACCGGAAGTAAAGACACACCTCTTCGAGTTATGGCGGCCATTGTCTGACGTCACTGTGAAAAGGGTCTATTGTCATCACTCTTCCCCCTATACCGCGCCCCTGATTAAGACTACTAAATACATCCCATTTAAATCAATATTATTACTGATTATTCTGTATAGTATATGCATGCAGTTCAGATAAGCTTCCCTCTGACATTTTGCATTACATTTCACTGTAACTTTGCTCTTTTTCAAATTGGTATAAGGACGTTAACACACTGACTGTGGCCCAAAAATTACATATGAAAAATGAAAGAAAACGATCAAAGTTAAATTATAAACATGGACCTGCTCAAACATATTTTGTCCAGCCCCAAAGAAATTTTCTTGTTTATTGTCCCCCCCAATAATGAAATGGGATTTCTGCCCTTGTTCCTTTAATAGAGTCTTGGGAGAAGATCTCATTACCTTCATGATGAGCTGCTTCTCTGGGATTGCCGAACACTGTTTGTAATCCCTGTGGTTTGGGAGCTTCTCCACAAACAGCCTGAACAAATGAAGACTGAAATTAACTTCCTTCTAGTTAAAGACCATCCCTGGCACACAGGCATGCCCCCGCAGGTGCTTCTCACGTGATTAGCTTGGTGTAGAGGACATATGCATTCTCCAGACTGCCCTCCTCCAGGTAAACAGCTGCCATGCGCTCCATCTCCACTCCGGAGCGGAAGTAGCGTCTGGGTTCGATATCCTCATTAATCTCTATGCAGCATCCCATTTTTGCCAGAGCTCGCACACGCTCTGCTGCTGTCAGCGTCACGTCAGTGTAGTCTGGTTCCGCTGCCAGCTTCTTCTGTGAAACAGAAATCAAAAAGAAAGATTTAACCCTAATCATGGAAGCTTTTACAGTAACCATGGTAACCATAACAACAGCATGCACAGAGAACAGAATTACTATCTGTGTTTGAATGGTACACTGAATAGTTTGAATCACAAACACTGAGCTGGAACCCTGTTTCCTTCCAGATCAATTGAAAGCATGAATGCGGCGATTGTTCTTCAGTTCATTAAAGTGAAGAGAATGATGTGTCATTCATCCACACAGAGAGGGCCCTCAGAGTAGGAGACCTGGTGGTTTAAAGGATCAAAGATGTATGTTAAAAATGGGGCATCGAAGGGAAAGAAATAAAGTCATGAAGCAATTGTTTTTTCAGGCTTGAAAGGGGCTGCTGCCTGTGCTCTCCAGCTTTTGAATTGGTTTATCCTACAGGAAAGAAATATATAAACATTCAAAGTTTAAATAACAGATAGGCTTAGGAATAAAAATAAATACTCAAACTTAGCTAGCAAATTTAAACTAGCTTAAAGTGTAACTAACTCCCAAATTAACTCTTCGTTTTGCTGATAAACTGTCTAAATAGGTTGTTTAAGGTATTTTGTTAAATCAACTTACATCATGTTATAATGTTATTCCCTCATCAAAAACATACCTGGAATGTTGTTATGATTCTTTCAAGCATGGCTGGCTGCAGGAGCATATACTTTGTACCAGAGTCCACAAGTTCAAATAGGAAGACTGTGAACTACCAGATCTATCTGCTACTGACCAACCAGAGACTCAGTCAGTACTGACAAGTCAACCTGTAACTGTGATATTGGAAAAATTACACTGCTCTCCTTCAAATTGGTATAAGGGTATTAACACACTAGCTGTGGCCCAAAAATTACACATGGAAAATCAAAGAAAACGATCAAACTTAAATTATAAACATGGACCTGCTCAAACATAATCAAATGTCTCAAGATTTTGATGTTGATATGCAGGCTGAATCCGAGCTCTGCTGCCGCACTATAAGCTGGTATTGCAAGGGGTACTTAAACCAAAGTTTTGGAAAATGTCTCCGTTTGAAGCTATCAGAAATCCTTAAGGATCTCTGAATGTTTCCTGACAGGTCTGTAAAGTAACTTTCATTTGTAGCACTGGACAAAAAGTTGTAGCACCAGCACAAAATGTCTCTAAAATCTCTGACAAACATTAGTGAATACAAAGAGAACACAATAAGAAGATATATCTTGAAACGTGTTTGTCAGTGAACATGCATACAAAATAACCTTTTTTATTTCAAATTAGAATAGATATGTTTGATGCATAAGTATGTAAGTATGCGAATGAGAAATGTGTCCAGTTTGAATCATACTGCAGTAAGTATACTGTAAGTCAAACCTTTAGAGATAACTTATGTTATAAGTTACTTGCATATAACTTATAACATATAAACATATTTTCCTACCAGAAGGGGAAACACACTAGATTTGGTTTGCACTAATATCAAGAAGGTCTTCAGAGCAGCTCCCCTGCACTATCTTGGCTCTTTGGATCATCTTTCAGTTCTGCTCATACCAGCATACCAGCCACTGCTCGCTATGCACATGCACAACCAACACATGGTCGAAGGGGAGTATGCAGCATCTGTGTCAGACTACAGCCAGTGGTGTATGGAGAAGGTTACAGCAACAAAGTCAATGTTGTCAATGTCAGTCTGATTATAAAGCTACTATATAGTCTGATTATATAATTAAAGTCTTTCCATGACAAGATAACATTAACTGCCTTAATGAGCTGAACAACTTCTTTGGAAGGTTTGAAGCCCTAAATAAAACCCCTGTGAGGAAAGCTACCCGTCACCCTGTGAACAGGCTCTAAGGTTCGAAACATCTGCTGTGCGAAAGTCCCAGGCCTTGACACAGCTGCAGGTCCTGACAACAGTCCAGCAAGGCTGATCAGAGTGTGCAGACCAGCTAACACATGTGCTCACAGACATCTTCAATACATCACTGTACTAGAACATTGTCCCCTCATGTTTTAAGTCATATATAATTATTCCAGCGCCCAAGAAACCAACCATCACATCTTAATGACTTTCTCCCCGTAGCACTAACATGTACTACCATGTAGTGCTTCGAGAGGGTGGTTAAGGACCACATCATTTCCATACTGCCTCCAACATTTGACCCATTCCAGTTAGCATACAAACCTAACCGCTCCACTGAGGTGCCATCTTCACTGCTCTTCATCTGAGCCTGGTACACTTGGAGGAGAGGAACACCTGCGTGCGGATACTGTTCTTGGACTTCAACTCAGCATGTAATACAATCATCCCCCACTATCTGGTATGCAAGTTGGTCCCCTTGGGCCTCAACACTATACTGTGCATCTGGCTGCTGGACTTCCTCACTGAAAGAACTCTGTCTGTCCGTGTGGGTTATAACACCTCCAGTGTCATTTCTTTGAACACTGGCTCCCCAGGGCAGAGTCCTGAGCCCCCTGCTGTTTACTCTGATGACCCACAACTGTCGTCCCAAGTTTAACACCAACCACATCATGAAATATGCAGACGATACAACTATTCTCAGCCTGATTCAGAAGAACAATGAAATGGATTACAGAAAAAAGGTACAACATCTTGTGGACTGGTGTAGGATAAACAACCTGCTCCTGGACATCAACAAGACAAAAGAGATAATTGTCGACATCAGGAGGTGTCGACCCAACCACACCCCAGTCCTCATCATCAACATAGCAATTGAAAAACAAACAGAAATCGTTCAGGAAAGTGAAGTAAAAATAAACAATTGGGATAATGTGGTAGCATAAGTGGAGATGTGGTTGTGTTCAGACTTAACCAATTGTATTCAAACTCATGTTAAATTGGAGTCAGCACACACAACACACAAAGTGATCAAACCAAAATAAAGTTCAGCTGTTCTAGAGGGGTCAGGGGTTGAGAGGGCTGTCCACAGGCAATGCCCTCACATTCTGTTACATTTGGAGTAGTTTTGCAAAAAAGACTGGGCAAAAATTGCCACATTGCCATGTTGATTGGCTCCTACCCAAAAAGACTGAGTGCTGTAATAAAAGCCAAAGGTGTTTCAACAAAGTATGAGTTTAAGGGTGTACATATTTATCCAACTAGGATATTTTAAGTTTTTTATTTTATATGTTTCCCCTTTATAAGGATCCATGATTAATTGCCACAATCTACTGTATTTGAGAAATATTTATTGTAGATGTAAAAACAATACAGTAATAATACTGCATTGTAATAAAATAATGTCACATGAATGTCGCCATGTTGTTCACGCTGCAATGCATTCTGGGTAAATGACATCTAAAGGTCCAACTGTGCTAGCGCCATCTAGCCAATGCAGCGATGAGTAACGTATTTTAAGCCTTTTCGAATTGAACGAGAGAGTGCTGAAATTGATGGGAATGTAGATCTAAAAACAGTTCATGAAAATGAGTATGGGGGTATTTTTCTGCCATAATTCAAGAGCACACATTTTCAGCCTCAAACCAATTCAGCATTTTTCACTCTCTAGCCAACAGGAGCGGGATTTAGGTGTTTTGCGGATAAAAACTGTTGGCATGCATTTGTTTTTGTCTGGTGAAGGTAACGATCACCTGTTAAGAGACTTCATCAGTTTTGCTTGTACATATGACTTCTGGAGAAAAAGGTTGGAGCACAAATGTAGGTCTTTCGGAAGTTGTGTTCGGCTCCAGCTCTTTTCCACTGTGCTCTTCTATTTTTTTCGGGAAATGATCCAGATTGACCCGTTTTGTTATTTTTAACTACAGCCAACAGTGACGCAGTGTGGCATTATCTAAAATTACACCAGACAAACACAATATGATAACTCAGCTGAAATTAGCCTTACTGATTCCAGTTCAGAATGAACCAAAACCCATCATGTGAAAAAATTGTGACCCCTATTAATGAAAAATATAACAAAAGATACACATTTTTTGAAGTAATTATGAGTTTTGCTGCACTACAAACAGCAATTTTGAAGTAAATAGGAAAATTTCAACATATTTAGGCCAACATGTACAACTAATCCTGGATGCCTATAAAGGTTTCAGTTTGTTTTTCAATTGATGATAGATAATATTAAAGGTGGAATAAGTCGTGACCATATTTGTCTTGCTGTCATTTTTTACATCATGAAAACCTGGTATTTGAATCAGAATCAGAAGAATTTTATTGTCATTGTCAGAAAGACAACGAAATTGCAGTTTCAATACAACCCTCCATTACACAACAACATAGGGGGCCGGAATTGGGAGAGGGGGCATAGTTGGCTGAGGCCTCGCAGCCCGACAGGCGCCGCCTTGCAGAGGAAATAGGAAAAATAAGAAAAACATCAGGTAAGGAGAGGGGAAAAAAACAGCCTGTCTCACACTCTGCTCTTTGAAGGCAGAGTTTGAGATGAAGAAAAAAACCTCAGCACATACGAACATATAAACACATACAGACAGAACAAGCCGGGTACGAGGAGGAGATGTGACATGCATACGGGTCTCATGTGAGTTATGTGTGTGTGTCACACCATGAACCCTAACTGAAGCACGTGATTGTCTGTGATTGTCTGTGAGTATGATGTCAGAGTTATCAGCTTATCAGTTCAGGGCCCACAGATGTTCTCAGGGAAAGGAGGGCGGGGGAGCAGCAGAACAGAGCCTTCTTTGGACGTAACAACCAG